CACACACACACACACACACACACACACACACACACACACACACACACTCACACATAAATACATATACGCACTTACATAGTGTAACCATTGATCACTATGTATACTTATTTTTATTCGAATAAATATTTTTGGCTACATTATATAAGTTTTATGCAATTATATTTTTAATTTAATAGTATAATATAAATAATATTTTTATGTAGAGTTGTTTAATTAGAACTCATTATAAAAAAAAAATACCACTAACTAAATTTTAATTTTAATTTATTAGTTAATTTTATTAAAATTAGTTGAACGATTAAGTTCCTTATCACCTAACCATTAAACTGTATTTATTTTGTTATACAGAAAATTCAGAAAAAAATCTAATAAAACCAAAATTATCTTCATTAATCTATGTTAAGTGTAAAATAAATACACTTAAACATATAATAAATATAAATGTAACAGTAAAAACAGAGGATATTGTCATTTCGAAAACAAATTGAGGCTCTTCATTTTGATTAATTAAACTTGAAATTACAAAGTTATCACTAAATTCTGGAGTGTTATAACCATATAAAATATTGCAATTAGCCTATGAAATAAGTCAAATTGATAATAAACAGCAATATTATAAAATAATATATTACCAAAATTAATTTCAGGTTCTCGATAAATTAAACAAGTATGTGATGTATAGTATAGTATAGTATGTGATATATGTGTGTAATATTTTCACTACAAAGAAAATACAGGCATATTTTGTTATTGTGTGTAATACGTGTCTATAATTTTATCATCGTTTGATTCTTATACGCTTGTATAAGTATAAGTAGCAATATTGCATATATAAAGCGCCATTGTAACAATATTTATTGTTTTGTAATAATTTGTGTACAGTAGTTTATCAACCATCAACAAATTATTTTTTCCAGTTAATCATGTATCTCTTATAATATCTCCAATATATTATTACATAATAATAGATGTTTTAAATAATTATTGCAGACATTCAGGAATACATATTATATTATTATTATTATCGTACGGTGAGGAATCCCTTGTCGAAAAGCCCTGAGAAGAGCTATTTTGGTTTTTTATTAAGGTTGTTGTTGATGCTTGAATTTAGCGAGAGATGCTGAAAGGCACACTCCGCTGACCGAAATTCCGTATACTTTAGCCGAGTCGATAACAGGTTATAGGCTCGTTACCTGGGTGCACTGCGAGGAAGCGTATACGGCACTCCACATATTATATTAATACTATCCTACAATTAATTATTTCTCACTTTGATTAGTTTTAAAAGTATATATTTATATAAAGTACATATTTTTAAATTTTTTTAAATCACGTAATATTTCTTAGTAATTTTTGTAATTATATTAATTTATTCAAATTATAGACAGTTTATCATAAATTTAAATATGTAAAATTGGAAGCAATCGCTACGTAGAGTAAACTTCCACAATTTCTGCTATTTGAGGATTGAAAATTAATCGTGTAATTTTTCTACATTCTGTCGTCAAATAATATGTATTGAAAACATATTGAAAATCTATTAAATTAAAATAAACCCATTAAAAACACATTTTATATCTAATTTATTTTGACACTTTTATAATTATGTTTTTTTTATCATCGCATAGTTCCTGAAAAGAAATCAATTTGTTGAATAATACATCAACATAGAAAAAAAAAACCCTATTTAAATATAATACTTTCCAAGAGTATACATAAATTAGTTACAATAATACTATAACAATAACAATAATATTATATATTATATAATATTATTATTGATATATTTTAGTTGTTATTGGTTTTTTATTCATTCAATACTGAAAATCTACAAGTCCGTAAGTACTATAATGGGGTTGAAAGGAATCTATATAGATATTGCAACAGAGTTAAGAGAAAATAAATCTTTCTCTGGTAAATCTTGCATCGTATTTTTAACACCAAATAAATGTTGAGCTTATTTTTAGCTCGTTTGTCTCCCAGCCCTTAAAAACGCTATGCGCTAATAGAAGAATGGTGAGCGTACACCCAAAAAACCCGGATCTCGTGTGTTTATCGTATTATTAATTGTCACTATACCTATTATTTCGATGTTCAGTGGCTAAGCATATTAATTTTATTGACAGATGTATACTATTACGAAACAACCTCATACAAACTGTGATAAGAAATTTACTATTATTTCTTTCTAAATGAACGTGTCTATGTCGATGTAAATGCTACAAAATCTATACGATATTGTTTTGCTCCATTCCATAATCTATATATTGTTTTTTCTATGTAAATGCTAACACTCAAACCAATACATTTAATACAACTGTTCTTTTTTTTCCTATAGACAAGAACCGAAACCGGACCAGAATGCTAATGCCATCGAATGATATTAGTGACTCGGCGTTCTTATTGGAAGATGAAAGTATGTCATAAATGTTTATGTTGAACCTATAAAAATATATTTCATCTACTGTGATTTTCGTATTCATCCGGCATATTCAGTGTAGGATACAGGAAGCATAAAAAGAAAAAAAAAATTGAAATAAAAAAAAAAGAAAAAAATGAATAAGAAAAAAATGATTTAACAACAGTGCGATAATGTTAAGCAAAACGTTTACCGCCTTGGGAAGGTTTCGTTCTGATTGGGTTATTGTGCGAGTGCGTCAGACTGTATACAACCAATTTAAAATGCTTACATCGGAAAGTTAACATAGATATTTTTTCGTAAAAAAAAAATAAAAAGAAAAAGAAAAATAATAAATATATAATACGAACATCATAATGTTTTTCACTTTTTTTTTTTACTCAAAAAAAATAAAAACAAGACTCATCGCTCCTGTGTGTCAAATACACTGAAAAGTCGCTGAAAGAAAACTAGAATATAATAATTTTCAATAACTAGAGTGAAGACCTTTTCTTAAAAAGGTTCAGTTAATAACGGTAATGTAATAAAATGAAAGATTTTCTTATTTTCTCTCTTCATCTTTCCTCTCTTCTACTTTGTTTTTTCCGCCCCGTGTTTCTAATTTGTGATTCGCCCGGGGTGTGTCTTTTTTCATATACATAAAAATAAGGCTGTTTACATTTTTCGCTAAAACTTTTAGCGTAAATACAATTGGCAAAGTTTTCTTTTGAAACTGGCTATTACCGTTTACAATTCGAACAGAGTTTTATTTCATACTAGTAAATTATATTATTTGAATATATTACAAATATAATTAAAAAACAAAAATTATACTGACTTATATATAACGCACTTACGCCATTTTTAAACCACGTTAGGATGTAAAACGAAAATATTCCGCTTTTGTGACGTAATTGAAAATATTATGTTTCTAAACATAATCTCAATGACTACAGTCATGCTGAATAACTTTAACACAACAATAAAACATTTTATTTAATTTAAAATCTTTTGCATATTACTCAATTTTTCTGATCGATTGCATTACAACGCACGTAATCTCTTCGATTGACGTCGACATTGATTTATGGAAATTATGTCACAAAAATATTCTAAAACCATTTTTTCGAAATCGTATGACATTAATTTATTTTTAGGTCCATTGTGTTAAACGAATAACACTATGAGCTTTGATATTCCTGTGCACATTTTCGTAGTTTTTAATTTTCATTCAAGGTTTAACATGGTTTAATGGTTAAGCAGCCTAAGAATTAATTAAAACCTTAAAGATAATTTGTTGTGTATCTGCAAAGTAAAGCTACAAAACCCTGTTTTCATTATACTAAAATTACATTTCCCACGATAACATTTCGCTTTCAACAGCTTGAACGTGTTTTCAAGCGAAAAGCAATATAACATCAACTACTCTGATATGTTGAATTCTGAGTATACTTCCTATTCCTTTGTGATAAGACAAACGTCTATTTCATTCAAGCTACCAGTTTTAGGACAATAAGTTTTTTAAGCTGAGCAGGAACGTTAGGCATCCACTGCAATCGTATTTAGTCTTGAAAAGGGAACCTAATCGGGAATTTCCCTTTACATATTAATTCGTACATGAACTGGATGTTTGAGTAATTCTCCCAACTAATCTACTGACGCTTTTTATTGCTTTCAGTTAAATATCCCAACAACCTATTGTAATTGTATCGTCGTTGCACGCATATTATAATATAGTGACCGAACGTATAAACGATAAATATATTTTCGCATATGAAATTTTATCGAATCACCACAACTCATTCTAACAATAGGTTATTTCCAATTATTTACAGTACGAATTGAAAAACAATAATGTGTACTCTTTGTAAACTTACACGAAACTGTAACGATCGTGATTCTCGCTATGTTTTTGAATCACGTTTACACCTTTTACAGCTGTAATCTCGCTATGCATATTTTACAGTCTCATCTAGCACTAATCTTTGTCGGGGTATATTAACGATTGTCACAAACTTTGATTGTTTTATCAGGTTAAAAAAAAAAAAGACCTCTATTTTTCATTGTTTATTTCGAAGTGTAAAAAAAATGACTAAAATGTTATTTTCTAGAAAAATAAAATGATTAACGCGAAAGTGTTTAGTACGTTTTACGAGTATAATTAAAATTGGTACATCGTTTGTATATCTGTATGTTTAATCAGACTTCAAAATTAAATTGTATCTTTTTTCATAAGTTTGCATAAATTCATTTACGCGGTAGTCGTTTATAAAAGTCTAAGCCACTAGACGTGAAATCGTAAAAATATTCATACTAAAAAAACACAAATGTAAACGATATTTTTCTTTTCTAGATAAAGAACTGGACAATTATGATGAAGAAATATCCGATGGTTTCGATTCAGGATCGTGGTCACAGAAATTATCGTTTTACACCGTAATACTGTGTTTAATGTTCATGTACGCGCACGGATAACTTCAATATCTGTACTTCGCCGTCTCCTTCATGGTGGAACATATTTAACTATATACAAACATATTATACAATATTATTTTGCTATGTATATCATTTTATTTGAACATTGTTTTTATCTTTTTTTTTGGTTTGGTTTTATTTTTTTAGTTCAAATTCATGTAATCATATCCATAATATACTATACACTTGAATTTAACTATTGACGTATGACTTTAGGTAATATTATATTGTATAGTGATGACTACGAATAGATAATAATTGATATAGTTTGTATACATAAACATAACATAATTTAACACGTTTTAGGATAAATTTATAGTGAAATACTTTTGGTAGTAAGATTTAAACGTATATTATATTTGCTTAGAACACATGTGTAAATTAAAAATTTAAAATGTAATAATGTAAATTAAAAATAACTTATAGTTATAATTAAATGTACTAAATATTATAATTCTATAATATGTAACGGGACCCCAATAGTATTGTTATAACCTGAAAATTTTGAATATTTTACTGAAATACTGTTGTCCATTAATGTAGATTCGTTTTAGTGGATTATTTTTTATATATTAGTCATAGGTAATATTGCCTGATAAAAATGTGTTCGGCGCGCGTATATATTATATTATGTTATATAAATACATATTATTTAATTCGTTGCAAAAAAAAAAAAAAAAGACGCGTTTGTAAAATCACGTTAAGTTAATAATAATAATAATAAAAAAAAAAAAAGACTGAACGAATGAGTGAGCACCAAGTATATTTTATATTGTACACTTGGCTCTCCATAAATAATATAATATTAAATATTTAACACGATTTTGTGTATTTTACATAAAATGTTCAACGAACATGAACTTGTACATATCATTTGATGCTATCCGTACATATTTTTTCTCGAGTCTACTGTTAATGTCATTGTGTAACAATATTTAATTTGTACTCATATTATTATTATATAATTATTGTTGTAATAGAATCCTAGAACAATGTTGTACTATTGTCTTTACGTGGAAACGTTATGTCTTGTACGCCGCGAGTTAGATGATACATTAAAGTAATCCGGAAAATTATTTTCAAAGTCTAATTTTAGTGTGTATTTTATTGGTGTTAATTAAAAAAAATATGCATATCTAATAATATATTGACGTCTTGTTTTAAGATGCCATCGGTTGTATGCATAGAATACAATTTTTTTTTCTAAATATTTTAAGTATAATTGTTGTTCACTATAAGTATAGTTAATGAAAAAAAAAAACTAAATACGTTATCGTAGAAGATAAAATGTACTAGTGTTAATTTAAATTAAATTTAAGTAAAAATAAAAAATAAAAAAGAACTAATATAAATTTTACTTGTGTATTGTACTTTTTTGTCTGAAATCAGTATTAAGTCCATTATGTTGGATATTTTAAGTTATTCATATCAACTGTCAAGTACATTTTTTCAGCCTAACATCTATATACTAGAATTAATTTTTATAATGCGCGCGAATAACTCGGTCATTCGTTGATCCAATGGAATTTTATTTTCGACGAAGTCCGTTAGTGATTACCGATGTTTCCAGTTTTGAACCATTTACCATCTTATGCCGTAACGTTTTGATGCTCAATGATACGATGGTAATAGTGAAATTTAGGAAATTTTTCTTTATGAGGATAGAAAATATTAATTTGAAGATGCCAATGAATTAATGCAGGACGAGAGTTTGTTATGACTTCGCATAGATTTGATTTACACCTTGGCCCTATTCCAGCACCTTATATCGTCATTTTAACCAATTGTATGTTTTACAACTTAACATATATACATAATCGTACGTACCTACTACATCACAAAAAATTTTAATTAAGATCATTTTTATGCGAAAACAGTAATTTTATTAAAGAGCTAACTCATAAGCTAGTCCCTAGCTCTGTGTGAATTACATATAGTATACTGAAGCTAAAGAATTGACAAATAAAAAATTTGCTTAAAAAAAAACATGTCTGATTTTCTATACCATAAATCGGTATGGAAATATAGGCAGCCAACAAAATACGGGATTCAATATCTTATACTAATCATATTAATGTTCAACAATTAAAATGACAAGCGTTACCTATATGTATGAGAATGAACAACATTTAAATACAATAAAATGTGTTATATAACACAAAGTAAATACTCTATAGCAGAGATGGCAAATCAATGTGATAAGTAAAATTTCCTTTAATTTCCGTCAAATTTCTTAACTTTTTAGTAAAATATATATTAAATTCTATTGTATAAATTATTTAATACCGATAAGGATATACTGTCTCGTATAATATATGATATTCTCCCTAAATAAAATTACATGTATAATATATATATATATATATATTCAATATTTCAATAAATTAAGTAATGGCACTTTAGTTACCAATGTGGAAATATTGTACATAATATTATTATACTTAATTAAACTATAAAACTTTAACTAACAAAAATTTGGGTTTCTTATATATATATATAACGATATATGATGTTAAATGGAAAATAACGTTGTTTATCAACAAATGTGGAAATTATGGTTATTTTCTAGTGAATAACGTTAATAGTCGTATGATATGAGAAATTTTGATTATAAAAATATTATGTCCACCGACAAATGATAAGGTGATCGCTAAACTAGGTACTAAGTGAAAAAAAACTATTAAACATGGACAATGTGATCAAATTATCAGATGGTAGACAATTGGCACTGGGGGAAGCAGCTAGTAATATTTTTGTTGGGGGCCCTCAAGGGTACCAGCGTTGCCATTGCAATTTATATATATAGAGAAAGACTAAGGTCATATCAATATAAGATTTCATAACAATGATATGATAAACTTACCACTGGTAAATTGGACAAGAATGCATTTTGTGATTCTGGCATTAATAAAAGTCCAAACAATATCCATAACAGAATGATTTTAACATTCGGTATTATTTTTATTGTATTTTTAAAATAAATATGAAAATTATTTGGTAAGTTTTAATTTTGTACATTAAAAAAATTTATAAAAACTAAAGTCAGTACGTCTGGCCCATCTATCTTTTTTTTTTTTTTTTTTTAAACGAAAGGTATTTAAACACAGATATGTCATCAATCATTGAAATTTACTCAACTCCCACCAACGCGATTCTTCCCTGTACATTTCTTATGAGACACATTTCTTATGAATCAATTCAAATTCTCATAGCTTCTCTTCTATTGAATGGATCTTGATCGTTTCACTCTCAGAACACTCAGTAGATCAAGCTCTTAAAGTAATAAAGTTATGCGTGCACAATCAACTTTACATTCAATTTTTTCAAGATTTTTCTATATTTTCCTTCACTCAAATTTCTATAACTAAAATTCTAACTAACGTAGGCTGTTGACATAAGTCTAAGAACATTCAGTGGATCATGTTCTTTCTTTTGAGCTATTAACTGCTTAAATTCGTTGAGTTTTAGGAAAGTTATGTGTGCACAATCAACTTTACTTTCAATTTTTTCCAAATACTGTATTCCCATTGGCTCTTACTCAGTGATATAACAATACTAATATTATTACTTATATTAGCTAATATTGTCTGAAAGGGAATACTGTAAAATGATTTTATATAATAATTACACCATCTCATACATAGTCTATCCTTATTCTGTGGAACATACATTTTAATAAACACTCTCTATCATTTCGATACGTCTTTCAATTTTCGATATTATACTCATTTATTGATTTGTTAAAATATGTTTATTTATTGATTTGATTGCGCCTATACTTTTTATTATATAAATAAATTATCTATTACGAATTTTCGCAATGGGTATACTAGTTATATATGAATTTCAAATATTTAATTGTAGTCATTAATGACAGATGTAACTATATTACTAGATTCTACGTACAAAATTAGATACTGCATTCATATATTTTTCCCCTACACTGTCTGATTGAACTGACACCATTATTACAGACAAAACCGTGAAAGGCCATTGTAGGAAATAAATTCAATATTTTACTATCAGATAGCTGGGCGTCCTCGTGTAACTAATCTTGATATAAACGGAGATAATTTTGCAAAATGTAGCTATTGTCAAAGTCTGATATTATATGTTATACTAATTTGACGGTATTAATAACACAAATATCTAACTGGTGTAATAGAAATATACTTCTAATGATTGCTGATGTTATTTTGTCAAGACATTATATTGTTACATAGAACAACATTCATATTTTATGGAATACTATACTTTCAACACGATTTACTGTAAATTTAATTGGTTAATTTTATACCTAGACTGAGTTTCATTTTATTGAATTCATTAAATGTTATTAAGTTCAGTAATTGAACACGATTAAGTGAAAAGTTCAAGTCATTGCAATAACTATTTTTTGAATTGTCACGAACTGGAACCAAATGTCTTATGCCATTCCAATTAATGTTTATCAATTGCACTGATGAGAAGTACCTATATGAATATGGGTGAAAAAAAATGTAAATACAATAAAATACGTGTTATATTCTATAAGAACAAAACGTGACCACAGATATTTAACAATCATCTAACAACACGTATATCGTTCGTGTAGCACCTTGTGTACAACACATTTTTTAGTGGACTCCTAGTATGGTATGTTTTCTATTATACAATCTGATGTAAAATAATTCTAGTTCGAATACTCTAGTAAGCTTGGGTAATAAATCTGAACAATCGTTTTGTGAAAAGGGGTTACACGTAGAGTGTACCCACCCTCAATGAAATTATATTTAAGCTCTTCACATCTGTGACCACAGTAGTATCGTTATAATATTATGACGTGATCAGTATATTCTAAATTATTTATAATAGTAGACATTAATAAAAGTACACTCCACTATTGTTTTAAACGACAACCTTACCATGATTTGCTTAGAATACATACACGTGTTTAGAAAATATCAAAATACATATCTACTGTGAGTCAAAGAAAATACAAACACTTAAAATGTGTAGCTTTCCAAAGTATAATATTACATAACTATTGACATCATACATCGTTGTCGAGCATTTTCCGAGTATAATATTTGATTGACGGGAAATATATTAATTTTAATTCAAGCAATGGAATTA